CTTTGTTGTGCACCCTCGTACTTCAAATCGTGCCCTGGTCACCACCACCACCATCTCCTCCTGCTGCACGTGCCGCGCAGCATAAATGCCACGAGGCTGTTAGCGTGCCAATATTGGGTCATGCTTGTCATCAACATTCAAGCTTATTCTTATCTCTTGGTGTGTACTCTCGAACATGCTCTCTCATAGCATGTCTTTCTGATCACGCTATATCTTGACAGCACGTGCCTGCTGTCACTCCCCTCAACTAGGATTGAGCCTTCTGTGCAATTCTTTTTGCCACGTGTCACTCTCGCCCAAGCCAAGATTCAGCCCCTGAAGAAGGAGAAATGTCTTGCTATGCGTACTCAACACCAGCCATGAAAAGCACTCAACCTTTCTTCCCCCATGCAATTTGTTGCCAGCTCTGCTGTATATAGTCACTCGGCAAGTCCGAGCTCATGTATATCACAGCAATTTATGTCTCGTCCTAAAAAAAAAAGAGTCGTGTGGGCGCCAGCACCCGACGCTCTTCATCGATTGTTTCCTGCCGCTACACATCGGATTTCGACATTTCTTTTCGACGTCATCTCTGGATGGGCGTCGCTCATTCCTCGCCTTTGCGAGCGCGAGTCCATACAGCTCGCTGTCGTCATCTGGTACATTGCCGAGCGGCGGTCGGCGGCGTTTGCTGCGTACGCTGACACTCAGCAACGTGTACCAACTGAATGGGCAAGAGGAAATGTCGCGCGCGACGTCGCCAAGAAAATGCTCGAAATTATCACCAACAAGCACCGCTCATTGCCAACATCAAGTCGCTTGCGCTTCGAGATCAACTTTATTGACGATTGTCCACTAGCGTCAGGTCTGACCGCTCATATGACTTGACACTGTTGCTTACACGCTCTCTTCGACGCACTCAAATACTTCATACTCACTCGATGCATCGGCATGATGCTGAATCCAACATGATGCAACATATTGATCTCAGAACGTGGGAGAAAGTGCTCTCTCACGAACGATCGCGACTTTCCACGGGAACGCAACGCCATTTTATTCGTTCGGCTTGTCTCACAGGAATGCAGAAACAGCAATGCTCTCAACTTCGTTGCAGGAGAGTATCCAAGGGAGACAGGGAGAGATCGTAAAGAGGTAGTGGTCGAAAGGCCTCAGGGTAGCGAGCGCACAAGATAGCATCCTCTTGAAGTAGCCTGACTTCTAACCGACGGACACTATCCCAACGCTTGAGAACGAGATTGAACAAAAAGTAGTCGATGTGGATGCAGTGCATAAGCAAGTCAAATCGCTCGCGATTTTCGGGCCCGAGATGCGAAAACTCCAAGCCCGATGATGATGCCGTTTGCGAAGAGGGTGTAGTGGCTCCAGTCACATTGACAGAAGCATTCTGGCTACGTGAGTTTGGCACATCAGGCCACATGGCTTGCTGTGTGTTTTCCGACTGCGGTGCAGGCGGTGCAGCAGTCGTGGGCCAAGTCGTGCTTGCAAACGCCGAGTCCCACGGGCCGTGGTACCCACTGCCATTCTCCGAGATTGGATGGTGGCCGAGATCCGGCATCCAATCGGACCCATCACCGCTTCGAGGCGAGTCTGTCCAGATGTCATGCACGTTTTGTGACTGCAATCCCATCAAATATGGTCTGCAAATGACTCTCTCTAAGTCTTCGAAAGGCACTCGCGAGGTGAAGGCGTGCCGAGCCAGCGGGTACAGCTGGGCGTATGTGCCAATGTCGATCTCCGGGTGGCTGGCCTCGCCCAAAAAGTAAACGACGTGCTGATGATCTGGACGGCTGTCGACACCAATAAAGTCGGGGTAGATGTTGCCGACTGCTCTTAACCAGGCGCATGTAAATCGGGACGCTCGCATGAAACCAGCCATGCCTACCAAACGCGCGTGGAGCGCCTCCAGATGCAGGCCGACGAATTCCATTCGCATCTGGGCAGTCGTTGCCGCGTAGTTTGGCAGAATTTGTTCATATCGGGCGAGGCCTCCTTCCACGTTCCCAGTGTTCAAAGCTTGGCTGCCGACATACTCGGCGTCGCGCCTTCCGTGAAGCTGGCCTAGACGGTGGGCTACCGCGGCAACACGCTCTTCGTGCCCTGGAAGGCCTTGTAACGAGCTAAGCCGAACGAGATGAGGCGGCTCCCGGCCATCGTATCTCGAAGGTCGCAGACCTATGCGGTCGCTCAAGCTGCGTTAGAGGGGAAATGTGAGAAAATTGCAGGTTCGGTTCTATGCATATTCCCAGCTCACTGTTCGTCTCTGGTCCGGAGCTGTGCATCGAATGCGTGTGACAGCCGACTGAGCTCGCCGATGCTTAGCTGGGTGATAGCAGCGACGAAGACGACTAGCCAATTGTCAGTCACCTATTGCGGTTCTCTCCGTCGTGTCACTGAGCATCTCACACTTTTGGCGAGTTCTGCTAACGCTTCGATCGAAACTTTTGGTTGCTGCTGGTCTTGCCGCTGGCCGTGAGGTTCGGAGTGGTCTTCACCAGCCCCAGTGCCAGAGTGTTCTCGGTCATTTCGAATTTCGGCATCGCTCGAGCGCTTCCCCTTTTTGTTTCCAGCGCTTCCTGACGCTTCCCTATTCGTGACAGTTTTCGTGCTGAGCCAAGTGAACTCGTTGGTATCACAGATGCTAGCACGGCCATCCTCGTCACGGAGAATGGAGCCGTCGCGATTGTGGAAGCTCACCCGAAGCCGCCTTTCCGTGCATTTGTAGGAGAGATTTGAGTACAGAAAAGTAAGAGACGAACATTGGCAGAGGCCGCTCCCATGACTCACAAGCTGCAAAGCCGTATGTCCTTCTCCTTTTTCAAAGCTGAGCGAGCAATCAGGAACGCAAGTGGTCGTCCCGGTGATCCAGAAGCGTCTTTGATCTTGTCGCGCCACAAGAACCTCCCACGTCCGCCGTCCGACTGTGGATTTTGAAGGTGTCCGATGACTGCTTCTTTTATTGCCGATTTCGGGTCATCCGCATATTCCACCATTGAATCAAAGAGCCACTGGTCATTCTCGTCCTTGCGCTGGACGAACAAAAGCGCATATCCGCCCTCGAGCACGTCAGGATCTGTGAAAGAAGTATGACAATGTCATTGTAATCAAGGTTGGATGGCCGGGTTTTGCAACATGAGAAGAGGATGCCAGCACGCACAACGAACGTTTGGAAACGCCTCGATGGCGAGATGGAATTGGCCCTTGGATCCTTGTTTGACAGTTGAGCCCTCGGAAGGAACCACTCTGAACTTGTCTTGTCTGTCATGCGGAGGCAAACACACGTACGCTTTGAGGCCGGTAAACTTCTCTTTGGAGGCATGGCACAAGTTTTCTGGGAGCAGGTGTGTCAGCAGATGCGAAAGCTGATACGGACTGCACTCACTTCCAGAGTAGGTGCGTGAGCACAGTGCGCTCATGAGAAAGCCATGGCGCTCGAAATCGACCTTGGGCGTGGGCGCACCAGCAAAGCCGGCAGGAAGGGGCGGCTCGTGAGCTAGCACCTCTGAAATCACTCGAGCATCGAGACTGTACGGTGTCTGCTGTATAGCGTCCAGGTGCTCTTCTGTTGGATAGGTGGCGCTTTCAGCAGCATGAAGTCCGGGCCCAGCTGTGAAGGAGACATACGCACATGAATTGCTGCGCCTTGACTGAGGTAACCCTCAGCAACTCACGCAACAATTCTATTGCAGCGTTCCGTCGCTCATATGCGTGATTTTGACCTTGCAAGCCGCTCATTTGAGAGCTAGTAGACCCTGATTGGGTCGGTAGAGCTGCGGCGATGGTCTGAGATCTTGCACGACTATCGATCGGTATTGGCCCCGAGCGAAATTGTGCCAGGTCGGAGTCTTCGATTTGCCTTGGGCGCTTTGCGGTGGGTGTCGGGCGAGAGACGAGTGCGCCTGTGTTAGTGATGTGCGAGTGCGATCTCTGCCGACCTTGCGTGTGTGAATCCAGCTGAGTGGGACCGTACATTTGCGTCGTCACGTAGGTCGGCGGCAGATCCCCATGCTCCCAGTCATGGTTCCACCTAGCCTCGGGCGCATGTGCGCGCCACACAGGCGGCCATTGCGGCGAAGTATTGGAACGGGAAGGGTCCATGTCGATGTGAAGTCCGCCGCGATGTCTTCGAAGAGTAGAGGATCGACGTGCGAATTGAGAGCCTCAGAAGCTGTTCATCACCCACGCCATGGGAGCCGCAGCGCTGAGCCTCAACTGGGTGCTTGGGTTGAAAACGGGTCTTTTCCCGTAAGACGTTCATTCAGGCGTGGCTTTATAGGCAATTCCAAGCGCTGACCAGGCTCTGAAGTGTTGGACGCCATTTTGCCCACCAGTGAGTTCTGGAAGTTGACTGTATCAATGTCACGTCCGGGGCCCTGGACGTGCTTCTTCGGCCACAGCTGCCAACACAAAGCAACGCAAGGTCAATCAGTACCTTTTCCATAAGGCGCCATTGCATGAAGCCCGTACGTTCTGCCCGCGAGCCTCCACAAGGTGGTTCGCTTTGGAAAAGTGCCCGATTGAGGTGCATTATCATGAACCTAGGTGAGACATGCTTTCTGTATCGAGGGGCACTGGGCCTGCCTCTGCAAGAATATTCTGGCTGGCTTCGCCGTGCAGATTTTAGCGCCGAAGGGCGACAGGACCGGTCCCTCTTGCGTCGGAGTGAGAACGAGCCGCATGATCCGACAGCGGGCGCGCCACGAAGCGAGGTCCACCTTTGCAGGCAATCGTGAATCGTGAATCAGAATGGTCAATTTTGAATGATTGGATGCTGTCCCATGTGCATGCTACTACTTAATCGTGTGTGTCCACATATTTACACATCAGCTCGCGCTGGCGAAGCGCTGACTAGCAGTGCCTACTCACGCTCGTGCTGTCAATGGACCTTCGACCTGCATCGCCGCACTCTCCTCCCAGGCTACACAGAGGGTGCCAACCGGTCTTCCTTGTGGAGGCCAGTTGGTAAGGTCTCCGAGCCGTTGACCTCGTTCACAGAGTCTGAGGCCAGCCGGCGTTTGCGCCCATCTGGCTGTGCAGCACGCGCCAAGCGTTCAATTGCGCGAGCGAGATCAGACTAGCAATTCAAAGTCTCAAACGCCGCTGTGCCACCAGTGGCACCAACTCACTGCAAACGACCCCCAAACTCCGCCACGCTCCCGCGTCTTGATTCAAGGATTATTCCTTCCACAACACCTGATAGATGGAGAAGAGGATCAGCATACCGGTGCAGCAGCCAAGATGAGCTTCTGACATGAGTGTGTCTCAATCAAGGGCTCTTCATTAAAGCACGTCGACACTGCGCGCATGCGCTCGTTCGTAATTTGACCTGCGGGCCTCGCTCGACAGCGCACTCGCATGTGCAGTGAGATTACCCACGCACTTGATAGACGGACTGGTCCTTGCTCGGTCAGGCGATAATCTGCCTTCAAAACCTCCTCTTGATGGCTCCTCGCCGCTCCTCATAGCCTCACATTCGCCTAGACACCATTTCGCGCTGTGCAACTCCATTTGATATCACCAATCAGTCTTTCTGCCCAGCTACTGAGAAATGCCGAATCGAGCACGTCCTTACCCTGCGCCCCGCGCACCTCTCTTTGAGCCTCGTGAAGAGAGGTACGACAAGGGCCTTTGTATGCTGGCTCTACGGTCTGATTGTCTTTTCATACAGCAAAACTGCAATCGCGGCGATACAGAGTTGGACGGCATACTTGACAAGTCGGGAGCAGCTAGCCCGATATGCGACTGGTCTTTGCGAGGTACGCCAACAGATCCCTTCGGGGATCCGCAACGACCGGCCGACTGTATCCCTCCGGGCGCGCAAGAATACACATGCGACAATCGATACCACGAGAATGAGGTGCAAGGAGAGCCGTATCTATGTGCGTGCGGAGCGCACCTCTCGAACTCCACCTCTTGCCCCGGCAGGTGTGACTCGCCCATGTCGGCGGCATTCTCTACTTCTTGCAATCTTGTCATGCTGCCCAGTCCCGGAAAGGGTGAGTGCTCGTTAAGAACCTGGCGCGTTAGAACTGATCACACTCATCGTTGACTGGTTTTACGCTCTACTTTTAGGCAACTTCACTGGAGATGCTGCTCAAGGGGCGTGCTTGTCTGCGGCCGGCTCGCGGCAACTTCCTTCGGGCGGGCAGACAATCTTCGACGGCATAGGTGAGGTCTGCGGCGATGACTGCCGGCATGATCAGCGCTGCAATGTTCTTAGCGTCTTCCTCTCGTTTCGCAGGCTTGGAGTATCGTTGCGACAATCGCGCGTTCGACTTCTCCTTCAAGATTCCTACTCGAGCCCTGTGTAGCTGTGATGGCGCCCTCGACCTGGCACAACTCGGCTTGAACGATAAGTCAGGCGTCAATGCTAATGCTTGTGGATTGGCAGAACGCCAAAGGCAGCCACTCGCTGCCGGGCGCATCGGCGCTGGAGGGATCGTAGGAATCGTGCTTGGGACGGTATCTTTGCTAGCGCTGTGCGCGGCAATCGCTACCGTGGCGCACAGAAGACGCAAGGGTCAACGTGGTGAAAGACGCCACGTCGAAAGCGCAACCACGGCCTTCGCGCGCATTTGGGCGAGGACGAGAATGCACGGACGCGGTCGAGAAAACATCGAGCTCGCAACGACCTCAATCAACAGCTCCGCCTCTGGTACGGAATCTAGTGCAACAGCTAGCACGTCGAACAGCGCTGAGACTGCCCTTTCCTTAGCTTCTTCTCCCAGCGACCGACAATTGGTTTCTTCCCTTGATTCCGCAACAAGCTCAGCAAACACCTCTGTCGAAGCACTTGACGCGCAACAGGAGAGGCAGACATCGCGGGTGCTGGAGGAGCACGTGGAGCCGAGTTCCAAGTGATCGGAATGTCCAGACTATGAGCGATAGAAAGAGCGTCGGCCATCTTCTGCCCCTTCTCCACGCACCACTACTCGACTTGGCGCAGAAAGTCAAGCACTATGAATAACGTCTCTAGTGTCTCCAAGCAGCTTCGACCAACGACGATAGCGAAGAATTGCCTATCGAACGAATGATGTCGACAAAGTTGCACCCTTGGCCATACTAGGCAGATCTTCCCTCGCATTGTCCCAAGGCACCCTCATGACATAGTGATGGCATGAGCGCACCTCTCTCTGTACCAGTAAGCTCCCGGATATCGCATGCATGCTTCGCTTTTGGTGATCAGTGCTTGCTAGAGACTACCGGCCGTGCACGCTTGCGAAATTTAACACGAGTATCATTTCGATATTTGACGAGCGGACAAGACTCGCTATTTCGTAGAAGCGTTGCCGAAACAGCTGCGTGCCTGACGGCAAAGATGTTGCTTTAGCACCAAGATCAATGACTTGCGGATCAGATGCCCCCGCTCCCCCCC